TCTTTATTGATGATCTTTATAAGGACATAGAGTGTATCATCAGTAAGCTCGCAGATGACACCAAGTTAATCTGCATGAAGATAGGGAGGCTCTACAGAGAGACTTGGATAGATTGGATCGGTGGGGCAACGTTAACGGGATGAGCTTCTACAAGGCCAATGTCCTGCACTTGGCCACAACAACCCCATGCATCGCTACAGGCTTGGGGAGGGGTGGCTGGGGCTGTCTGGAAGAGAAGGATCTGGGGGTTCCAGTTGACAAGCAGCCTGATAAGCAGGGAGGTGGCGGAGTCCCCACCCCTGGATGTGTTTGATGAGCTGTTGGGGGATGTGGTGTAGGGGAGAACTTTGCAGAGTAGGGCTGATGGTTGGACTCGATGTTCCCAAGGGGCTTTTCCAACCTGAATGATTCTGTGATTCTGTTGTGCCCCGCAGAAGTGGCCCTGTGGATGTTTCAGGGTGTGCTGGGGCTGAAATCAGGCCTGGGAACAGCAGCAGAGCCCCAGCTGCACCTTCTCCAGCTCCTTACCTGCTCTGCCTGGGCAGGAGCAGCAACTTCTTTTGCCATCACTATCAAATTGCTGCTAACTGCAGTGTCAGCTGCTCAGACATCCATCTGTCCTTAAAACTGGGGTCCTGAGTAGGACCTGCATGTTTCTGGTTTCAAAACTGGGTATGATCAAGCCTGTGCTTATATTTGCCTTAAAGACCAGGAATATTTTTCACTAACAATACTGGCTCTGCTGTGAGCAAGGACCATGCACAGGTTCCTTTGTTCTTCGTGCAAGTCAACCTTAGTCTGAAGGAGCCAGCTAATCTCACTGATGAGGTTTGAATTTCAATCTGAGTTTGAATCTGTGATTCTGTGAATCTGTGATTTTATGAATGGCTCACAGTTCAGCGAGTCAGGGACGGGCACTCCCCATGCATTTCTATTGCACCCAACTGAGCAGGACCCGATGGGGAGCTGGCATTGCTAACCCAGGAAGGCCAGCTCTGAGCACACATCACCATTTTTTCTGTGCAGTTTGATGCTTTTGTAGCATGAGCTGAGGGGGGACATGAAGAGCATCTTGAGCAAAGTTGATATTTCTTGTGTAATTGCTTTGGAGCCTGGACACTAGAGATACGGCATCTCTCTTTTCCGAAGCTGAGCCACGAGCCAGCTCAGCTCCTCCCAACGCTCCATCGAGTGAGTTAGAAAGATAGAAAACTTGCAGCCCAGCACCACTGGTATAAACCAGAAGCCATTTTGTGACCAAGGGAAAAATAACAAAACCTCCAGCTAAACTCAGCTGACTTGTAGATGTCATATTCCACCATCAGATGCGATGTGACAGGCTCCCTGCCGGCTGGTTCTGCTTTCACCTTGCGTGACCACCCCACTTTGCAGAACAGAGACTTGCTGACTGCAGAGGGGAAAAGCCACTGCAAGTGGGGTGAAGTGCAGACAGGTCAAATGTTGTGGTTAACACACAGTTTTTGCTAAGCTCACAGCAGGTTGATGGGCTTTCAGCGAGATTAATTTAAAAGAAAAGAATAGAAGCGGTTGACAAAATGCTAATACACAAATAAATAAACTAAAAATTTTATTTCCCTCATCAGCTGCTATTGGAAATCTGTGTTTTAAATGCAGCAGATAATTATTCCCATTACAAGCCCATTGCAAAGCACTTACAGGCCCCCTTTGATTTTAAATGGCATTTGGTCAAACATTATGTAGCAACTCGATGGTATTCCAAAAATGCCCAGTTTTAATTCAGCTCCTCACAACAGTCCTTGGAAATGTTGCCTCCAGGAACATTAATTCCAGGAAGGCTACAATTGCCAGGAACGTTTTATCTGTATTTACACAATGTGTATTTTGCATCAGCTCTAGTTCATGCCAGGGAAATTTAACTGTGCTTGAGGATCCCAGAGAATGGGAAAAGGCCACAAGTCCCCGATGTGGTGGTTCAGGGGTCATCACTGGTGTCAACTGTGGCCCACATAAGTGGTGCCAGCCACAAAACCTCTCATGGGCTCTGGTGAGCAAGGCAGTGAGCTGTGCTTGAATGATCTGACTCTTCAGATACAAGCAGAGAAGGTTTCAGCCATCATTTCGGATCTCTCTTCTGCCCATGCTTACAGCTGCAAATGCAAAACACTTTGCATTAATCATGTTGCTGATGGGACATGTGAGGTTTTCATTCAAAGCTAAGGGATTCCTGCTTAGTCACTAAATGCAGTTTAACTTCACTGTACACCATTTATCATTACTCTCCACTTAGGAAGGCTCGAAGTTAATTAAAATATGCCCTCAATGAGCAATTAAGCCCAATTGCAGGGACTTCAAGGCATGGGGAAAGCCTGATGCACTATCCACAAAAGCCTTTGCTTTAGTGGGACCCGGTATTCTTCCTTGGGCTCAGGTCTGATCTCCTTAAATTAGGCCCCATGTTTTCTCTTGGAGCTTTAAGATTTGGATTTTTTTTTTTTTTTTTTTTTTTAAAAGCTGCTTTTATCCTAACTTCAGAGTTAGACCTTTTGAGAAACTGGTTTTGCTAACCTCACTCACACACCTCCTGCCGTACCTGTTGGCATGCAGCCCTCAACTCTGCTCCAGCTTGTCTCTGGTCATTAGGATCCCTCGCTGAGACCCGCTCGTGACCTATCCCTGAGTGTAAGTGTGTTGCACTGGCTCATATTTTAGCTTCTGATCAACATCTGTCTTCCTGGCTGGCTGTGTTGGCACAGAAAGGCCCCTCCTGTGCTGGAGGAAGGGTCTCCCTGCGCCGTGGCTGCTGCTGGAGTTTCTGAGCTGCTTCTCACTGCAGAGACCTAATCACCAGATCCCTTTAGCAAGGCTCCCCGAGTCGTTGCTTCCTCGCCTTTGGTTTGAGCTGATCAGTAACTTTGTCATTTAAAGGACAAGCATTTGAGAAAAGAGACAGTTTTGTTTCTACCTCGAGGTCTCTGCTTTGTAAATTCCGATTGTAATTTTCTGTGTCCAAATGCATTTACTGTTTGCATTGGTAAAAAGCTGCATGATCATGCAAGCAAAATTGCACGTTAGCTCATAGACTGCTTGTGGACTGGTTGCGAAGGCTGAGACTGAAAGCTGCCGGTGGGATTTGGATACCAATTCCCCATTCAAATTAATCCAAATCCCTTTGGCTGTTCTGATGATCTCAATAAATGAGATTTTTCTGCCAGTGACTTCAAATGCAGAGCCTGCCATGAGATTGGCCATGGAAGCAGCACAGCTTTTATCTCATTCCGTGACCTAAATTTGTAGATAAGGTTTTCTTTCTTGTCTGGGAGCACTTCTGAGCAGGCTGCGACTTCTGTGGGTTTATCCCGACTGCTGATTCCTCAGCTGCTGTTTTGTACAGAGCAAAACACAGGGTGGAGCGTTTCCCAACGGCCCCAGGTGTACATCCATGGGGCAGTACGGTCACCAGAGAGGGGCAACAGGGAGAAAAGTGCTGTCTAGCTAGGTGCCATGTAACCCCACCCCAATGCCTTCCATTCCTTGTCCTCTGGTAGGACTGCAGGCTCCCTCGGTAGCTCCCGGTCTCCTTCGGGGGAGCCCTCGGTGGCAGGGCAGCCAGTGCTGGCAGCGATGGGGTGAAGGGGCTGTCCCACACCCTGGCTCCTCGCTGAGCTGCCCCAAAGCACATCCATGGGAGGTAGATGATGTTGTAGAGCTGCACAACTGTCTTATCACAGGACTGCAGTTCTAGCAGTATTTAATTGCCCAGTGATTTCATGGGGCTCATTTCCAACAGAGATAATGGTAAAGGTGAGGGCTGTGCTTTTCAAAACAGGATTTATCTGAACCCAAAGGGTGGCTGAAGCTAACAGAAACAACCCTCCCTACCTGCTGTCCCTGTCCTATACAAACCATTTATTTTTCTCACCCCTGTCACAGCCTTTACCGCACAGCTGAAGTCACCTCAGCCCGGGGGTCCCCCTGGCATCCCCCTCCTGCTGGGAGCTGCCCTGCTCACAGGCACCACTGGCTCCACGTCTCCCTCCTGTCACCCTGCTGCCTTGTCACTCCTGTCACCCTAATTTGCTTGTCACTGTTTGTCCCCATCTTTGCTGCATCCCAGCAGCTTTGTCTCCTCTCACAAAACCCAGTTGCCTGCGTAGAACCTCAGTTTTCACTAAAGAAAAAGTATGCTCCAGAAAAAGCCAATTCACTCCAACGCATCATTTCCCCAGGCCCTGCTGCACCTAACACCAAACACCTGGTGCTCCATGGCCACACAGCAGCCTGCTGCTGAGCAGACCTGGCCCTGCTGCCATGTTCACAGATGCTCCCCAGCGCTGAGCCCAGCCCTGCCATTCGCCCCAGCCCCGCAGACCGCGGTGCTGCTCACTGTAAGGGAGTAAGCGGAGATGGGGGCTTTCCCAGGGTGTCTGGACTTGCAGCTCTAACATCCACCTCTTTGCTCTGGATATTTCAATGTTTGCGGAGCCAGGAGCAGCAGGAATGGCTGAGCTGTGAGCGCCGTGGCTCAGCTCTCCTCTGGATATGGCACATGGGTGCTCCGGTCTCTGCTTGCAGGTTTTAGATCTCTAAAGAGCTTTGCGGGAAAGATTGATGGGTTGCAGGGCTTTAGAGACTTGCAGGATTATGTGGGAGCTGAGAAGGAATCACAGTGTTGAGCATCAGCTGCCAAAGCGGTGAGGTGGGAAGGCCCTTTTGTGCCTCTGCTGTGAGGATGAATATTTTAGCTACAGCGCTTGTCCCAGGGGGACCTGCCGATGCACAGCTTGGCTGGGTTTAAGGGAAGCAGTTGACTGGGTCCTGGGCATGGAGGGCCTGACCCTGATAAAACAGAAAAGCTTTGCAAGTCATTGAATGCGTGGGGAAAGAGACTGGGAGCTGGCTCACTTGGTGACCTGGTGGGGTGAGAAGGTGTTTGGGTGCGAGTCACAAGCCCACGTGCCGTGGACCAGCCCTGCAGTGAAAACAATCACCCGTGGCTCTGCAGTAATGGAAACAGCAGCTTGATGTAATGGTTTTATTTGTTTGCTCTGTCAAAAGCAGCGGTACATGCAGTTGGCACAAGACTTTCTAGGCATTAGTGTCATAAATATTCACATGGAGAGAAATTAAAATGTCAGCAGTGCAGTGAAGGACAAACATCACTTAAATCCCAGCATTGACCTGAGAAGGAAGGGAAAGGTGTGGAGGAGGCAGAGCGGGCTGGCACCTCCCCAACTCAACTCTCTCCATCAGCTCTAATAAATGCTGGAGCCACCTTCGCTTTTGTTCTTGCTGTGTGGTTAGTTCAAAAACGAAGATGAGACGCAGTTCAGCTCCATAGCACTAATGAGTTTCAACAGGAGAAAAAATGTTTGAGGTAAGAGATGTGAGAATGAGAAGCAGAAATATGCTCACCTTTTGATCCTCAAGTGTATTTACACTCATGTTGGTACTGAGCAGAAGTTGCCTTCTGATTTAATCTGCTCGAGGGTGGTTTGGAAATCGCTTGTGAGCATTTTTATAATTGCAAGTTTCCAATGGTATTTCCCATCGTAGCTGCTGTTGAACAAACAGCCTGGTCCCTCTGCTCTCTTCTGTGCCAAAAGATTTATTCCTAGTAGTAGTAATAATAATTAGACTAGTATTGCTTTGCAGTTTTCTCACCTACTTCTCTTGGCTGGCTACGGAGAGTGCTGTAGCAGACGCAGGTACGTGAGGCTGCTCTGGCTGTAGGAGAAAGCGCTGAGGAGAGACACTTTCTCTGGACGGAGATGTCCCCATGCAGCAGCAAGGGACGACCTGGTGTGTGCTCACCACACCCCGCTGGCATCTTCCAGCAATGCGGGAATGCTTGTCTTCCCACAGACATCCCATGTAGCACTAACGCCAACTGTATTGTTTCATATATGTTATGTGCCGGATGGTTGTACCACACTTACACTGTGGTTTTTCTCATATTTCAGTCTCACAGCACCAGGCAAAGCATCGTTAGCATGGTCAGGTAGATGAGAATACAGAAGCACAGATATGAAACCCAGACATTATTATTTTACATTCAGGTCCTGTAACCACCAGCCCAGCATCCCCAGGCTGCCCCTCAAAGCTGCTCTTGTGCCACTGAGCTGCTGTTCGAGCTCGTGGTGCTGCTGCACCCATGCAGCAAACTCTGAGGGTGCCCACGGTGTGCAGCCTGGCTGGGGGGGGTGGTGACAGGGCAGAGACCAGCCTGATACCTGTTCTTTTACAGCTGGCATCGCAGGTGGTTACAGCTCCAGGACAGCCGTGGCACTGGCACGGCAATGCCCACCCAGGGCCTCTCTCCCAGCTCTCCTCCTGCTGAGGGTAAATCAAGAAGTAAAGGTAACAAGGTTGTGCCAGGGTAAGCAACAAGCAAATCCGCTCCCGGAGGAGTTGTAATATTGTCCATGTTGCCCTCTAGAAAACCAAGACATTATTATTTTTTTAAAATATTTCTTTATGCTACTGCACTAACAGGTGACCTGTTCAGTGGTATTCTGGTGTCGATGCAGTGATCTATACTGGGTCTCCTAGTAAAGGTATACGTCAGAGAGAGCACATTTAGTCTGTCCAAGCATCGGCCAAAATGTTCCTTTCAGAGTAACCGTACCAAGTGTGAGCAACATCTGGCTGTGCAGCATTTGGTGGAAAACACCAGTGGTTTGATGTTCCCGCAGATCACTTCTCCTCCAGAACAGATGGGGTTTGTACTCTCGCCAGCTTGTCTTCATGCTCAGGGCAGTTCTAGGCAGTCGCTGGGGGTAGATGCTTTATGAACTGTTGCCTTTCCAAAATGAGAACTAATTGCTGTTTCCTTAGTGAATGAGAGTCTGAATTGTCCCTTTGCCTACTGATGAGGGATATGATGGGTCACAAAAGTCTGCCTCATTTGCATGCACATTCAAGCCATGTTTTCTGTGTAAGGACTCCAGGGAGAGCTTTTAGAGCACAGGGTGGTTATATCTTGTGAATAAAATTATTCTGAGCAGCTACTTCTTCACACTTCAGCAATGGCTGGGAGCAAACAAGCTTTTACCTTTGCTTCTTTCCAGATGCATCTGTGCTCTGAAATCCAGTTGTGGATCATGGCTTTTTTAGGTACCTGGAAACACTCAGAGTATCTCTGCTTAGTGAGGACATCACCCATTACATTTTTGTCACAGTGAGAAGTTTTTCTCCCTTTTTCTTCGGTGCCTGCTGTACTGAACAAATAACTCTGCCTGCTTACAGAGCAGTGCAAGGCTGGGTTACCTACTAGCTTCCCTCCAGCTGGGGATGGGGATAGCTCTTCGCTGTTAATGAAAGCAGGGCCGTTTTCTTTCTGACTGCGGTTACTCCCTAAAACTGTTCCCTCTTCCCTTCTGAGATACCTCAGCTCTGAGCAGACTGCTTCTTTCTGCACTGGTCTGGGGGAGGGAAGCCTTGGAAAACCAAACACTTGTGGAAAATTGGATTTCCCTGTGGCTTTTTCTTTCATGGCTGGGGGATGAAGTTCGCTGTTGGGGGCAGAAGAGTTGCACCGTGCGTAACCAGTGCCGGAGCTTTTGTCATACAAAGAAGCCTTGGAGGAGCAGAGCTTTCCCGCATGGGTGTAAATCTGTGCCAGGGGGTCCTCTCTGGACCAGAAGTCGGGTTCTTCAGGTGTGACTTTTCCTGGTGGCACCATATTTGAGATGAAATCGGTCAGTTTACATTTTGACGTTTCCAGCTGTGTCCCACCAAGGGATGGAGACCATGGCACGTCTTCAAGGATCTTCAGGGTCTTTCTATCCTGAAGCTTACGGCTGCTTTCAGGAAGGCCCGGGAAGGTGGGTCTGGCGAGGTGGCAGATGGACTGAATGTAATCATCGCTGGAGTACGAGTCTGGGCTGGCTGCAGTGCTTCCAGTGCGTTTCATGTTGCTGGTTGAATCTTCCATTGCTTCCTCATAGGTTTCACGTATGGTTGGGAGAGGCTTTGAAAGACTCAATCTTATCCGGGGTGCCATGGCTGCAAAGAACAGACCAGATGTGATCAGCATGTGAAAGCCACCTGCAGTGAAGAAATTCTGGACTTGTTTTTGTAAAGTCCATGCTACCTGAGCCACCCAATGTTCTCCTGCGGCAAACAGTGGTTTTTACAGAACCTGCATTTTAAAGGTTTGTTGGCAGTACCCTTACATCCATGGCTTCATACAGAGCCCATATATACAAAAGAAGACAAGTATTTAAATGCAGTAGAAAATAAAAGGTTTATTAAAGAGGTCAGCTCCTTTCTGAAGCAATGCAAGGGGTCAGCAGCTGAAGTGGTGTGGGGCAGGTGCAATGTCCATGTTGTAGCAGCAAGGGACAAACTATGCTCCTCATTTAACACTTGGCTGGTCTGTTCACTGTAACAGTGCTCTGACTTCAAGTTGTGTCCGAACAGGCAAGAGCTGATCTCAACAGGAGAGGAGCCAACTTACCCCTGTGGGGACCATCACGTAAATAAAGTGACATTAGAGCTGATCTCTTCCAGAAGTTGTGGGTGATAACGTACAGTTATGTTCATTTTTGTCTCTGCCAGTGTTTCATAAATGTAGTTATGGAGTGGTAGATCCTTCCCTGAATGCTTACCTAGAGTCAGAGGGATTTAATTTATGTCCTTTATATTCAAATAGTTATCCTCAGTTCTTTTTAGGACAGATTTTCATCACACTGCTCCCACTAGTCAGGTAAACCTTTTTTTACAAATATTTCATGTTGCAGTGTTTGCTAACTGTGTTGATATTTTTTTCCTCAAAATACTCTCCGCTGTGCTTTGCTTATATTCCCTTCTGGCAGAGATGACCACATAGCTCAGATCCTTTTTTTTTTTTTTTTTTTTTTTACTATTCCCCCCCCCCAGTGGAATTTGTATGTGAATAATCTGCCAACACAATATAGCTTTGTTATGTGATTAAACACAAAAGTGCTTTGCCAGCTATTTTAATGCCGTGCTTGGCATTGCTGCAAATAAATCTGGCTTTGTTGAACCTCCCTGCAAAGCTGCAGATCACATACGGAGCACAAGTGAGCAGCTTGCACTGAGCCCAGGGCAGCGCTCATGGGGTGTCCATCCCTCCCCGAGCTGCTGCTGGCTTTTACTGGTTTTCATCTCAGGTGCTACTGGTAAAGTCAGCCAAGCTGGGATTTGCTGACCTGAGAGCAGGAGATGTTTGTTTTAAACCTTATGGCCTTTTTATTTCCCCTTCTTTATTCTTTTTGCTCCTTTCTTCTAATTTCTTTAAGCTTTACAAAGGTGACTTGCTTCTCTGCCTGTCCTCCCTCCCCTTGCCCGAGCTCGCCGGTGTCAGGATCTGGGCCTGCTCGCGCTCCGGTGTTGAGGAGGGTGGCCGGATGCTTCAGAGAACGGGCATGGGCACAGCGTGTTAACTTATGGCAGTGCTAATCATTAACTAAGTCCTGTCAACGTGCCCTTCCTCCAGACGGAAAATAAATCACCTATTTACAGTAAAACTCTTCTCACGGGATGGATTGGTTCCAGCCCGGATGCGATCCCCTCCGCCCCGAGCACTGCACCAGCATGGCCCTGCTCCACGCCGGGGTCACCTTCCTGCGCGTCCAGCAGCCCCCAGAGAGCGCGGACCCCCCTGCCCTCCCGGCCATGCCCGGAGCATCACCGCTGCGGCCACCCCAGGGATACCCGGGACACAGCCCATGTCTGCACCCCGGCTTTTGCGAGGGCCTCCCCTTACCTGTGCTGCTGCTGGTGCAGAGGGACGGGTGGCTTTCAGCTCCCCAGGCTCCCACGTCTCTCCCTTGCTCTCTCCCTCCCTGTTTTCAGTGCAGAATATGTGCTGTCTAAAACTAAACCGTGCATCAGGCTCCCTGCCTCCAGTCAGCTGATTCGGCTGCCTGTTTTGTTGCTGTTGCTAAATATAGTCGGCTGTCTGCCTGCCCTGCCCGGGAGCCCGCATCCCACAAATCCCGCGTGGCACTGGGACAGCAAACGGCTGCCCTGTGCCCAGCGGGACGGATGGTCCCTCACAGATCAGCTGCCCCTGTGCCCAGTGGGATGGATGGTCCCTCACAGACCAGCCGCCCTGTGCCCAGCGGGATGGATGGTCCCTCACAGATCGGCTGCCCCTGTGCCCAGCGGGATGGATGGTCCCTCACAGATCGGCCGCCCTGTGCCCAGCGGGATGGATGGTCCCTCACAGATCAGCTGCCCCTGTGCCCAGCGGGATGGATGGTCCCTCACAGATCAGCTGCCCTGTGCCCAGCGGGATGGATGGTCCCTCACAGATCCCCGCTGCCCGAGGCCTCACCGTGTCTCTGCTTGGGGAGCGCGGGTGCTGCAGGAGGGACTGCCCGAGCTCTGAGCTGGGGGGTGTGAAAAGAGCCGTAGGACCATCACAGCTCGTTGCTGAAACGGGAGAGGGGGGCCCCCTTAGATTTTGGGCTGCTTTTGTTCCTTCTCTGTCTTATTTCACAAGCAAATTTGTGCCACTTTGCCAGGTTTGCCCAAGACAGCAGGGGGGTGCTTGCAGCATCGTTATCACTGCTCTCCTTGCTCCCAGCTCCCAGTTTTGCACCAAGCTGTACATCCACTCTGGAGGCACAGCGGCCACCGGCCCCGCCACGGCACTGCCAGCCTGGTCCTCTCCCGGGCTCTGCACCCCTAAGCCCCCACTCCCCGCATCACTCCCATTTGTGTTTTGTGGAGCTGGCACACACACACACACCCCCAAGCCCACCCAAGTGCATTCCCGAGAATTGCTTTGCCAGGAGCGCTGACAGCGTCCGACCCTGCGGGTCCCTGGGCACCAGGGATTTCTGTTTTCTGGGTTATTAACATGCTGCAAACTGATTGCAATTCTAGTATAACCCCACTACACCGCTGTAGTTTCCCTTGCAGCATATGTTGGGTGGGGAAGTGAATAGTTATTTTGCAGCAGAACCTTCCTTCTGCTTTTATTTCCCAATACCCTCCCCAGAGGGAGCATCGAAAGCTGCTGTTTGTTACCAGGGAATAGTCACGCTGCACAACAGCTCCGTGCGACCAAGGCCAGAGAGCGAGACTGCGTTTTGGAACCTTGCTGCTCCCCACACTACCTGTCCTGAGCTGCTGGGAGAGACAGAGAGAAAAGCAGAAATCTTAGACTGAAAATCACCACTTTACATTTAATGCAAATATTCCCAGTGTTACTGGCGGTCAGGCTGGGACTGGCTTTGGATGTTGATTTGGATACCGAAGCCCATACTCATCATCCAGGTTCTTTCTTTATCACCAGTGGAAAGAAATAGGCAGCTCAAAAGACTTGTGCATCCCTTCAGGATATGGTTCAAAGCAGAGGTTGTTTGCTTTCTGGAGATAGCCATTGCTTAGCATTTAAATATAAAGGTGTGCAAGCTTAAGCTGTTTGTCTGGACCTCTGCTGCCAAGCAGCTGAAGTTAGCTTGAATAACCCTCAACCTTCATGCATTAAATTTGCTAACAGCAATGATCAGCTGGGATCATGCTGTAGTAAAATTTAGCGCTTAGATTTCTCCTTCTTGCTTGCAGGCACCACAATTACCATCAAACGGAAAGAAAACCCTCAGACCCCAGCTACTCTAAGCAGCTCAGTATAAAGCTTGTGAAAACCACGTCATGAGGAAAGTCACTGATCTGGAAAATGAGTTCTGGATGTGCGGATGTGCATGGATACGTTCTCTTCATAAAACTTTTCAAGATGATTCCCCTCTTCTGGAAAGTCCCTCCTCCTGGCTGGAGACATCTTCTTCTCAAGGGCTGCATGGTCTGATGGAGCAAGTAGGACCAAGGTCGTGCAAGGTACCAGGTTGGCCCTGGCCACCACACCTGGGCCAGCAGTGGCTCCTAGAGCAGCTGAATTAGTCTCAGGGTTGGGTTATCTGGTGTCTAACAGGGTCAGGGCCCCTCCTAAAGCTTTTCCATCTCACCATCTCTCTGAGTGGTTTTGGCAGAGGCTGGTGGGACGTGGCAGCCTCCCCTGGGAGAATGGAGCTGCAGAGACCTCGCACCCCGCACTGAGAAGCTGCCCAAGAGCCTCTACAGTGATCAAGGTCCTCACAAAATGTGATTAGGTAAGGTGTTTCTTCATGAAACTACACTAAAAATATGGGTTTGCAATAAAAATCCCTTCTGTCTGTTGAAATTAGTTTCTTCCAAGGCATCTGGTGTTACTGTAGGAAAATCACATTTATTCGAATCATTGGAATTACTCAGATAACCCTATCAACTTTTTTACATTCTTGATGATACGTAGATTAAAATACAAATTTAAAAATACCAGATACAGCTTTTAAAAGTAGCTATCATTATCCAAACGTAATTTACAGCAATACCTCTTTGGTTTTTTACCTCAACCACAGCCATTCAGTTTTCTCTTTCATCAAGTGGTTGCTGAAAAATGTTAATTAAAAAAAAAAAAAAAAAAAAAAAAAAAAGCACCTTTGAACGCTTGTTTGTCTCTTCACAATACTGCCATAGGCTTCTTCCGAGCACTTCTGAGGCTGGCTCTGGTTAATCCATCCTGGTCTCCTGTACTTGTATTCCCCTGAGAGACCAGGGTGAATCAGCATTCCTGAGTGCATGAAAACCAAATGGGATTAACAGCAAAAGAAAACAGCAACAGCAGCAGTGGCAGTGCCCAAGCTGCTGAGGAAAACACGAGTTATTAGTTCTGCAAGGCTTGATTATCTGAGATCTAAATGTTGTAGAGTTATTTTTTCTGTTTGTTAGCTTTTTTTTTTTTTTTTTTTTTTTTTGTGTGTGTGCTTCCAGTTTTGGGGAAAGCCTTGTATTCAAACAATTTAGCAGAGTTGCGCAAGTGTAACAGGCACCTCTCCTCTGGGCATTTTTGAAGCTTGGTGATGTTCGGATAAACAAACCAATTAATCTTTGGGAGCCCACTTGGATACCAAAGTCAATTCCCATTTTGGGTGTTCTCAGAAAAAAATACTCTTAATGCCAGATGGGGGCTCTGGGATGGCGCCAGTGCTGCTGGCTAAAGTCAATGTTCACCTGATGGGGGCACCAGCCCTGCCAAGGCTGCCTCATAAATAACTTTTGCTTTGGAATATTGCAAGGAATATTTATTTGGGGGGAAAAACAAAAATCACCTTATGTTTTCCAAAGTAATGAATCTGTACAGAAAAGCCCCTCCAGCCCGGTTTGGCACACTGATGCCCCCACGAGGGAGGTGCCACCCTGCTCTCATGCCAGTATCTAAAAACATGTCAGAGATTGCTAATGCCAGGCTTTGCTATTGTGTCAGCCCTTGGCAGGGACGGGGTTAGTGCAGCCCCGAGCACCTCCACACCCCATTTCAGAGAGCTGCTTCTCTCTTGCATGTTTGTTCATTAAAAGATCAGGGAAGGGAAACAGTTTGACCAGATTTATGCCAGATTCCAGATGATTTGTGTTTTCTAATTATATCTCCCGGCCTGTTAACCTCCCATGCATTACAGCAAGCAGCCCCTATGGTACACAGCAAAAATATTCCCGTGAAACATTAATGAGCTGTTTTCATATTAACTAGACGGAGCTGGGTTAGAAACATCGCACCCACAGCTGTTGCCCTGACTGCAGCTCACACGGTAACTGGTGGTGGCTACTTGTACAAACACTCCAATTGATGCACGCAGATTTTTCTGGAAATTACCAGGTATTTCTTGGACTTTCGCAAGCGAGGAACCAGTTGCTGCGAGAGCTGGGTTACTGCAGCCCATCAGCATTTAGCACAAGGCTTGTTTGCAGGAGCTCAGCTCCCAGCCAGCTGGGAACAGGGGTGGAGTCCTTTCGGGAGCCTTTGAAAAGTCTGGGAGTGATTTAGGCGCTCAGTTTCCTTGGGATTTCAATTACGCCTGGAAAATAACTCCAGGGAGCCATTGCCGGGAGTTTCTAGGCCGTGCTGGTGTCATGGGTTCAGCAGCCCAGCTCTTATCTAGCCCAGTGCTCCCCAGTGGGATGGGGAGGAGAACTGAGAAAAAGTAAAATTTGTGGGTTAAAAACAGTAAAATAACGAAAATAAAATATAATAATAATTTTAAAATATAATAATAATAATAATAATAATAATAATAATAATAATAATGAAAAGGAATATAATAAAAGAGAGACAGAAATGCCAAGAAAAGACAAGTGATGTCCAGTGTGATCGCTCACCACGCGCTGACCCGAGCAGCAACCAGCCCCCCTGGCCAAGTCCCCCCAGTTCATACACTGAGCCTCACATCCCGTGGCTGTGCAATAGCCCTTTGGCCAGCTCGGGTCAGCTCTCCAGGCCATGCTCCCTCCCAGCTTCTCGTGCACCCCCTCGCTGGCAGAGCATGGGGAACGGAAAAGTCCTTGATTTAGGATAAGCGCTACTTAGCAACAACTAAACCATCAGTGTGTTATCAACATTATTCTCACACTAAATCCAAAACACAGCGCCCTACCAGCTACTGGGAAGAAAATTAACTCTGTCCAAGCCAAAACAAGGACACCAGCACAGACTTTTTTTTTTAAAGTATTTTGAAGTCTCAGAATGTGTAAACTGTGGTGGCTGCTCACTGGCAACTTCCCCTGGGAATCCAGCCCAGCATATTTATTTGAAATAATACAAGTATTTTTATTTATATTATTACTGGTCTGCATAAGGTCACATTGTATATTCATATGTATGTATTTTCCATACATCATTTTAGATTATAGAAATGCACATCCAAACGCAAACGAAACACGCGACCACCCCAAAGCTCCTGAGCACGGATGCAGTTCCAGCTCTTTGATGCCCCCCACGAAGAGGCTGGGCAGCTGAGCGCTGCCGATCACAGCCGGGCTGGGTGAGGACGCTGCGCTGCCAGCCCCTGAAAGCCTTCTCCCACCCATGGAACACCCCATGATGCCACCAGCCCCGGGTGCCTGATGGAACCCAGCCGGGTGG